GGGGGGGGCAGGACCCCTGATTTCTGAAAAAAACACCCCCGACCCCTGCACCCCTGCACCCCTGACCTCGCCGACCCCCGCCCTTGGTAAACCCGACCCCCTCCACAGATGGCAGCCACCCCGGGGGGGGGGGGGAAGGGACCCCTGATTTCTGAAAAAAACAGAAATTGTCAGGGGATGTGCGGTGTCGGTGCGCACGCCCCAGTACTTTTTATTTTATTTATTTATTTAATTTTTTTTCGGGGCCGGGTGTGCCGACACCTGACCCCCGAGACCCCCGCCGGGGCCCCGGGCCCGGGGGTCGACAACCCTGGTGTATGGTAGGGGCTGGCGCAGTCTTCCGGTGTGAAGCGCCAGACCCCATTCACACCATGTAACGATGATGATGATGTATGTTCAGGGCTGCATTGCAATATTGATTGTTCGGATCATTGGTATCTAAGTCTTCCGCTGTGCTATCTTGTACTTTGTATTGAGAGGTCGGTTCTTGTTCTGGTCTGCACCGTTACAGTATGCAACAACCCTCTCAGTTTTGTTGAGCCCGTTGTTCAGAGTCTTCTTTCCCCTAGGCTTCGGGAGGATATGCACCTCCCGTATGATGATGAGATTCGGCACTGTGAAGCCAGGGCCCTCGGCTTCAGAACACCAGCAGGCCGAGAGGAAGAAAGAGAAAGAAGAAAGAGAAAGAAGAAAGAAAGAGACAGAAAGAAGAAGATATAAAGAAGAAAGTGCCGATGGAAGAGGAAATAATGAAAAAGGAAATGAAAGAAAAGTTAGAAAACGAGTTGAAGGAAGAACTAAAGACTATAGAAGAAGAAGATGAACCTGTTGATGACAGGCTGATCCGGCGACGGACAGACAGGGGGGAAAGTAGCCAGACAGGTGGAGGACTTCAAGTTAAACCGCTGGATTGGTATGATAAGTATGCATACTCAATAACCAGATTGAAGAGACGGAGGAGGAAAGAGATACGTTCATTGCAAAACTGGCGTCCATTGAAGACAAGGGAAAAAAAACTCTTGTTGGAGGAAAAACGAACTGAATTGCATAGTAAAATGTTGGTTGCAAAGCGACAAGAGCTTGAAGAGAGAAAAAAACTGCAGGCAGTGGGTGAGAGGTTGCAAAAAGAGTTGCAAAACCAGAAAGACAAGCAAATAGCAACCGAAGAAAAACTTGCCCTCCTGACAGAAACGGTCCTCCATACAAAGCAAGAATTAGCAATAATGAACAAAACATTGCAGAAAGTTGAGACCCACCAGTACGAATTCGAGGGAATCTGGAACACCTTCCTGTAGAAGTCCGCAAAGGATGTTGATCAACATGTGCAGTCATATATTCAGAAATTAGATGATCACATCAATCAAMCCTTCMCTCCCGCCGTAATTGAAAAGATAATTCGCGGCAGCGGAGGAGGAGGAGATGGAGGCGAAGATGGAGGCGGAGATGGGGGAGATGGAGACAAGAAAGGAAAGGGAGTGCCGTGAGAAGAAAGTGGGGATGTGAGAAAAATTAAAGTGCCGTGGACTTACACAGGCAAGGAGGAGGAGGAGTGTCTTACATTGGATTGCTGTCGTAGAGTCTTATGTATACGAGTTAATAATTGTAGATCTAGAAGTAAATAGAGTAAGAGCTGGAGGAATGATTGACAGCGGGTCAACACGCAGCTATATTAGTAAGAAAGGATTGCAAAAGTTGCGTCTCGGGCTAAAAGTCAAACAGTTGGATAAGCCCGTAGTCAGTAAATTAGTAAATAGTACTGAGACTGTAATGGATAGATATGTTGAAGGGGTCCAGACATACTTCCGTCTCGAAGCAGAGGGGAAGGTGGAACGAGTTTTCCACTCTCTGACTCT